TTTGAATATCTAAGAATTACCTTAAAATATCACCTAAAAATGCATAAATTAACATTATCAAAAAATATATAGCAAAAGTTTTATTTGCGGTGTGTTTAAAAATCTAAAAGAAACGTTAAAAATATGTAAAATATACGTAAATAAAATTATCTAAAATTAATATGAAAAATCTAAAAAAACTAAAAAGTACTGTATAGAATAAAAATAATCCAAAAAAATATATACAGATTAACGTATTAACGTATTCAGGTGTTGTTTACTTGAATATCTAAAAATATACATAACGTGTAAAAAATTGACTTGTAGTCTATTTGAAGATCCAAAATCGCGAAAAATATCTAAAAAATATACAAATTGAATATTGTTTAAGAGAGAATGTAAATGTCTTAAAGTGATACCAAGTTTCGATTTAATTCGGATTTGTTGGAATCGAAAGAAAGAAGAAAAAAGGAAATGGGTTGACAACAGATATCAAATAGCTTTTACTACTCTAGTCATGTTTACAAATCTAAATACCCGGAAATTGCTTGTTCTTTGTTAAAATTATTGTTTTCATTTCACTTGGTTACTCAGTCTATACCTTTTATTAAATATAAATTTCTTAGAGAAAGGGAAAAACATTGTTTTTTTTTTTTATATTTTTAGAAATGAATAACGTCAATAATTCATTATCATATATTTTCAAGAGTATCGAGTTATATTTGTTTATGAAAATTGAATAAAATGTCATTTTTCTCTGATGTTATTCTAAAATAACAGTTTATAGCTATTGATGTTTTTTAGGATATTTTAAATAATTCTAACAATGTATGAAGATGTGAGTTTATGTTTATGTTCAGTATTTTAGGGGGTTTGAAGGGAAAAAAATGTTTTTTTGTAGAAGAAAGAAAAATGATAAATTTGATTTTTTAGAAATATATATATATATATATATTTCTTTTCGATCTAATANGAAAAATGGTGTCAATGCTTTAAAGTTACCTTTAATCGCTTTTTTTAAAGGTTAAATTCCAAATTTTTTTAGAAATTATTTAGAAAATTAAATTGTTTTTAAGATCCGTAAATCATTTTTATCGAGTTCTTTTGCAATTTGTAATTGCAGTGGATGCAGAGATAATCGATTCTTTTTCTTCACCTCGCTTCAATCTAATACATAACATCTTCAACAATATATTGAATTTATTGTAAAAAATTTACATTTAAATGTTTGTAATTTTTAATGTAATAAACGAAAAAACTTTAAATTTTAAAAACACCATTTTCAAATAAATTTATATTAAAATATTTTAATTATTATAAAGTGCTTTATAAAACTCGTATATATTGGGATATAAGAATATAAAAACCACGTTAACAATTTACGATCACGTTTACAATTTAGTCTAAAAATTTATGTTTTTTTTAAATTTTTTGACAACTAAATGATTTTTTTTAATCTTAAAAACTTATTTTTGGAAAATAATATAATTTTTTCAAAAAATACAGTTTAGTTCCATAACGAAACTAGTTTGATGCTCACGTCGTTCTTACGATACTGACAAACGTATATCACATAGCTTCATTACCCGAGGTTTTTTGGATATTTTTTGATACCCTGAAACACATGAGATCGTCTAATAATACCATTAATGTAAATGTTATTTATACCAAAATAATTCTTATAAAGTTTAAATAACATCGGTGTTAGTGTTAATCACGTATAAAAAATTCACTCGTTAAACTTATTTGAATATCTAAGAATTACCTTAAAATATCACCTAAAAATACATAAATTAACATTATCACAAAATATATTAGCTTATTTGAAAAATCTAAAAATATATATATCAAAAATTTTATTTGCGGTGTGTTTAAAAATCTAAAAGAAACGTTAAAAATATGTAAAATATACGTAAATAAAATTATCTAAAATTAATATGAAAAATCTAAAAAAACTAAAAAGTATAGAATAAAAATAATCCAAAAAAATATATACAGAATAACGTATTAACGTATTCAGGTGTTGTTTACTTGAATATCTAAAAATATACATAACGTGTAAAAAATTGACTTGTAGTCTATTTGAAGATCCAAAATCGCGAAAAATATCTAAAAAATATACAAATTGAATATTGTTTAAGAGAGAATGTAAATGTCTTAAAGTGATACCAAGTTTCGATTTAATTCGGATTTGTTGGAATCGAAAGAAAGAAGAAAAAAGGAAATGGGTTGACAACAGATATCAAATAGCTTTTACTACTCTAGTCATGTTTACAAATCTAAATACCCGGAAATTGCTTGTTCTTTGTTAAAATTATTGTTTTCATTTCACTTGGTTACTCAGTCTATACCTTTTATTAAATATAAATTTCTTAGAGAAAGGGAAAAACATTGTTTTTTTTTTTTATATTTTTAGAAATGAATAACGTCAATAATTCATTATCATATATTTTCAAGAGTATCGAGTTATATTTGTTTATGAAAATTGAATAAAATGTCATTTTTCTCTGATGTTATTCTAAAATAACAGTTTATAGCTATTGATGTTTTTTAGGATATTTTAAATAATTCTAACAATGTATGAAGATGTGAGTTTATGTTTATGTTCAGTATTTTAGGGGGTTTGAAGGGAAAAAAATGTTTTTTTGTAGAAGAAAGAAAAATGATAAATTTGATTTTTTAGAAATATATATATATATATATATTTCTTTTCGATCTAATAGTAAAACGTATGATAAATATTCATGTTTTTTGTTGAAAAATTTGTTTAAAATTTATCATTTAAGTCTAAAAAAATATTACAGATTAAATCTAAAAATACAAATTTTTTAGATTTAACTTTAAAAAGAATTAAATTTTTTGTTATAAATTTATGTATTTCATTTATAACATTGTTATGTATTTGTTTCACTCATTTAAATCTATAAAAGTTTGATTTAGATTTTTTTAGATTTATACACATCTGTAAAATAATGTTAAAAAGCATAAATTTAAAATATGAATTTTCTAAAAGTACAATTTATTACATTTAAACCTGTAACACATTTTTAAAAAAATAAAAAAAAAATTAAATATTTTTAAATATTTTATTAATCTAAAAATCAATTATATATCCAAAAAATTTATTATAACTAAAAAATTTATATAATTTTCTAAGACATTCGTTTAATTTAATTTTTGCATTCTTTTATTTTTTAATTAAAAATTATCGTTTTTATTGCTAATTAAAGTGACATTTAATTTATATTTTAAACATCAAAACTGTAAAAAGTCTTCAAAAAATTTCAACGTTATCCAAGTTATAAAGTAAACAAGTTCATAAACATCAAAAAAATCATTAAAAATTTTTTTCTTTTAATAAAAATTTTTGAAATAAATATATTAATGAATTTATTTGATAAATTAATTAAATTTTATGGAATTTAATTAAAATGAATTTACCACGATTCCAAATTTATTAATTATCTTCTAAGAAATTTTCAATGAATATAAACATATCATAATTAATTACCATCAAAGAATTATTAAAAATAAATAAATAAATATGTTTTTAGATAATTATTTTCTAAAACAACCATTTGTAAACAGCTTAAAAAAGTCAAATAATATCATACATCTAAAAATTACGTATTAATTATCACAAGGCACGCGCCAATGAATAAAATCGAGGTTTTCAGAAAAGCTAATGTTAAAAAAGAAATATTTTTAGTAATAAAAATAAGGTTTTTTTCAATAAATAAATGTATTATATAAAAGATTTATTATTTTTCCAATCTAATTAAGCTTTTTATTTATTCTTAATTTATTTATTCAATTTATTATTTACGTATATTTACAGCAAATTGCGTGAATTTTATTTATGTTCCAACGCTAATTCTTTTTCCAATGACATTTATTTTCGAAAAAAATTTATCGAAAAAAAATCGGTTTATAGATAAATAATGAAAGTAATTATCTAAAAACAGAACAAAACTGTAGACTCAGGTAATGTTTTTAATGAAAAAACCCGAATTTTATTGACCTATACTATGATATTTCATCATTATAATGTGTGATTTTAGAAGAAAATAATTATAAAAAATAATTATAACTACATTATTTATCATATTTGTTTGTTTAAATATTTTTGTGGGAAAGTTTTTATATATTCAATTATTTAATTTTCTACTTTATAAATTTATTATAAGTTGTGTAACTGGAAAATCAATTTTTCGTGATATTTCTTGAATTTTTAAAAATATATATTTTAAAGAATTGTTTTATATAAGTTGAATTTTTTTAGTAAAGTATTATAAGTCGCATTTATATATTTTTGTAATTATTAAAAAGTAAAATAATTAAATATTTGTACTTTTAGAAAGTTGAAATTATACTTTTCAGTTCATAATAATGATATAAAAATAGTTTTTAGATGATGATAATATAGTATTATTATCTAAAAAACAAAACTGTAGCAATTTTTTGTTGTTTTTCAGAATTTTCAGAATAAAGAAACAATAAATTGTATTAGATAATATTGTTTTTAGATGATTATTACAAGTTTATGCAACAATAAATTTTTGTTTGAGTTTTAAAAAATGTTTAAAGCAAAATAAATTATATTTATTTTAAAATCAAAAAATAAAATTAAATTTAGAAGATAATCAAATAAAGTTTATATAATTTTAAACAAATTGATAAAAATTTTATAAACTTTTATGCAATGATAATTTTTAAATAGATACCAATATATAAATATATTTCCTGTTAAACAAATATCCTGCCTTTTAAAATATATGTATTTTTAAATAGTTTAAATATAGAAAAAATTTCAAAAAAAAATTTTTTTTCTTAAAACTCACCAAAACAGAAAAAAATCATCGTTTCAAAAACTACAATTAAAATAAATTAAAATGTTACAAGTTATATGATTGGCCGAATAAATTACCAATAACAACATCGATCAACCTTCCCACAATTCTGTGCTGAAATTATACAGAAAAAGAAAACAAAAAAGCACCAAAATAAAAAAAAAAATACAGGAGCATTTTACAGCGCCACCTCAACGTATAAAAGTGAGTAGTTGCACTGACATAGCTAGACTTTCAGCATCTCCCTTCGTGTCAATAACAAGTGTCTCAAAAAACACACACACAAAAAGGAAACTAACAAGGTAAGCAACGTCATAATACTTTCGCCGTTCTCTGTTTTTTTCCTATTGTTCTAAAAAAATCAAATCTGTTTTTTTCTAAATTAATATCTTCTAGCCTGTCAATTATATGCCATGTCGCATATAAGTTTTTCTTTTTTAATGATAAGTATATATATTCGTGTTATTTTTAGTATCTGAAAACTTTCATTTCACTCTGAATTCTTTTGTTATTCGTTGTATTTTTGTTAATTATACTAAAAACTCAATCTTTTCTAATTAGTATAGCGTGTTAATTGAGTGTTACTCGCAAATTTTCTTATGATAATATATATATATTAATATTACTTTTTAAAATCTAAAAAGCTTTCACTTTTGTCTTTCAGTAATCTGATTTTTAGATATTATTCTCTAAAAAATCGGTCTTTTCTGAATTAAGATACGGTATTTTGTCATCAACTCGTAAGTTTTTTTGATGATAAATATATATATATGTTAATGTTAATTTCTGAATCTAAAAACTTTCGTTAACTCTGTGTTTTGATGTTTTAATAACTTGTTCTTTCTGTCAACAGTATATTAAGTTGCTCGTAAGTTATTAATTCTATTAATGCTATTTTTAGAATCTAAAAATGACACTCTACTCTAAAGACCTATATTACTATGTGTTTTTAATACTATTCTAAAAACATTAAGTAATCTCTAAATTAATGCTTTATATTTTTTTAATAAACAGCATTAGTTATTTTGATGATGAATATAATAATTTCATTTTACTGGAAAGCCTTCTACTATACTACTTTGTGTTCTAAAATCTCTGCCTTTTCCAAATTATCAATAGTACAGTACATACATTGTATTGTATCAATAATGTTGTATTGATTGTTAAGTTTTTAGATAATAAATTTCGTATTAATATCATTTCTAAAATCTAAAAAATTTCCTCAAATTCTGTAGCTGTTAATTGTGTTTTAAGAGTCAAGGCGATTTTAATTTGTTCTTGTTAAAATGCTACTTATAGTATATAGTGTCTGATTTTTTTATTGATTCAAATTAGAAACAATTTTGTTGCTAAGGCATTACCATCAAAAAATACGATAAAAAAGATCTACTCTTAGTGACTATTAAGGTACAGATTTATTAGTTAAAGTTTTCTTTCTTGGATTTTTTCTAAAAAATCTAAACCTCTACGAAGTTTTTTCTCATCCTATGTTTAGTATATCATAATTAGAAAAGATTAAAAGAATTTTTGAATTAAAAAAAGAACACAATTAAGTCGTTAATGAGTGTTTTTAATGGCATTAAAACGTCACATTTTCTTCGTAAATTGCATTGATAAGCTGTAAACAAAACAATAAAGAGGATGTTTCTTGTGTTAGTTTCCTAGCTTCTGGTGTTTTGTATGGTATCAGCGGGGTGCACAAACAGAGATTATCTTTCTTTGTTAACTCGATTTTTAATCTAAACATTTTCAAGACATTTACCTGAGCCATAAATTAATTTGTTGTCTCGTTACGGCTCGAATTTTTATGGAGTTTTGTGTTTCTGGGGTAGATTTGGGGCCAAATTTACACATAAACTACATCTTAAAACATCCGTAGTTTAGGGCCTATAATTTCAAACTTATTGTCATTTAGTGAATGAAATGGGTATCTGTTACTGTACCATAGCACAGGAGCCTAGAGGATAGAATGTATATAATTCTGAAAAATTATTATATTATAAAGCTACATTTTGACTTTAAATAAGTTCTAAAATCACTTTGAATATATACACTTTAGTGCACTATATGTTATTTATGCCCCACTCTCTCTCCTTGAATGGAAATAGAGATAACATTCCTAGAAGAGGATTACAAATAACATTACACACTCACAGGAATTCGCTTGTTTATACAAAATATTTCTATGTTTTCGACTGAAAATAAACAACAAAACACATTGATGTTCTATGAAACAATTAGTAGTAAGAATTTTTAGAAAGTAGTTTTATATGTCACTGCAATTACTCGAGATGGATAAACGATAAATTAGTTTAGACTCATTTCTGATGAATACATTAAGGTGTTTTAGTTAAAATAATTATCTTAACAGTCATACTGATGAAAACAGCACTAATTTGTGAAGAGAGATAAGATGAGATTAATGAGATTCACTTAAGAGGAAGGAGGTATTTTTCGTATCTTATCTATAGCATGACACATTTTGCATCTTTGTTTCGTGTTTGAAACAATGATAATTTTTGTAAATTCCCGCTTTATTCTAAAATTGTATATATTTTATCGATTTTTTAAATTAATTTTCCATAGACGTGTATCCAA